ATTCTCTTTATTCTACAGTACGATAAAATATTTGGCCTTCCGTACGGATTTTGTAGGTCTTTATTGTGTCTTCTTTCGTAGGTTTATGTTTTCATATTATAAACTGGGCCAAATATTTTTCTGAGAATTTTTCTTTCAGTTGTACACAATTTGGAGTAATCACCTTTTGTAGTAGCCCACGTTTCACATCCATACGTCAGCACTAGTCTCTGGTAACTTGTGTAAAGAGTTATCTTCGATTCTCTAGATAATTACTTCGACTTGAAAGGCGTATTGCAATAATATTGTAAAAAGATTACGGCGAATCCATCGTATACTTATATAACTTAATCCGTCCGCGAAATGATGTTACAAAATCTGCATAATCATTTCAATGGGTACTGTTCGTAATATATTCTTGTACAAAGGTGCATTACACTGCGGGTACACTGATGTTCTGGAGGAGTGACGTTGAAACCTAGTTATTTTCGATTAAAACGAGAGCCACACGAGAGAGCTTTGCCTCCGACGCAGTTAACCTCCCATATATTGAGTTACCAAGTCTTAAAGTTCGAATACAAACATTTAAAGTTCTAAACTTGGCCCGACTGTGAAACCCGGGACCGGTATGGAGTTAGAAAACTTGAATTTACAATTCACTTTCAGAATATTACATTTACGTTTACGTCAAAGCATTGGTAGTACCAAAAACGCTCATCGGCAATATTGTATTACGAGAACAATCGTACCTACTATGTAATATAAAGCAACACGAATACAAAGTAGGAGGAGCTCGGGCGATTTGTGATTCTATATTGATGCGACGTTTGATTAGGCATGTATGAAAATGCGTTTTATCCAAATGGATAAAATAAAAAAATGTCTTTATCCATTAGGAAAAAACAGGGTACAACATAGTCTATCGATAGTTAACGAAGAGAGAAGCCCACTGTAATCTTACGACACACGTAAACATTCTTTAACCGTGTTCGCTCTGCGCATCCGTGACAAAATCGTCTAATGAAATTGTTACACGGTTTCACGCGGTTACCTCGATCGAACGGCAACCGCGATACCAGGAACGAAAAAAATCGCAGCGGTATGCGCACGTGGATGTATCTAGATCAGGGGTGGCCGACCTAAAAGATCTTGCGGGCCACTTTGGAAATGCATTACGATCCCGCGGACCACGTATAAAATTATATTAGTATTTTGCCCCAATACAAAACAATTTAATGTAAACATTTTAAACAGGATTAATGATTATTATAAAATAAGTTTTGGTATATTAATTATTTGAAATAAACAGAATGAATTATTATCGTTTTTATTATGACTCATAATTTATTAACTTGGATAATATATTATTTATGAATTTTAATTTATTTATTTCACTATTTAGTGAGATATTTGTTTCCCAACTTGTTCACTAAGCTTTTGAAAATTAATAGAAATGCTTGTATTTGCACATCATAATTTATGTTGCAGGTTGTCATCTGTTAGGTTTGAGCTTGATTTATTTTTGGCGAATTTCATTTTCGAAAAAAACGATTCACGTGTGTAAGTCGATCTAAAAGCACTTACAACTGTTTGTGCTAGATTTTTCAAATTGGAAATTTTTTCTTTTGTGATATTAATGTTATAAAATCTATTTTTGATTTTGATGTTTCGAAAATGTATATTAATTTATTATTGCATTGTAAGTCAATGAGTTCCATTTGAAGATATACTGTGGTTGACTTGACATCAGTATGAAAAGGAGATGAATATATTTCATATATTTTCTTGTATTTGTCTAAATTAATGAAACGACTTTTAAAAGCAGCTGTAAGTTTCCTTATTTCTTTTGCATATTTATTGTTATCGATATGTTTTGAAATTTACAATTCGTTTAGCAATGGAAAATGTTAAACGTTATTATTTTTTAATTGAAATTCAAGTAACAATAATTTCTTCTGAAATGCATTGGATGTGATTAAATGAGTCAATTGTCTTTTCCCTGTAACGATATATATTTAATTGGTTAGCCTTTCCTACAATACCTACTAAAAAATATAAATCTAATAACTATTCATCATTACTTAATAAACATTTTCCACGACTTAACCATCTGACATGACTCAAGTATACTACGTAACCGTATTCCGAATCCAATTCTTTCAAGAACTCTTTAAATTGTCGGTGCTGAAGCGCATGTGATCGAATTCAATGTTTTTATGACTACTTGTATAACATGGTTCATCGACAATACTTGGGAACAAAAATGTTGTCAAAGAATCAAACAGTTTGTTGCAATTACGTTGTCAATAATACGGATTCCGCGTTTTGCGGGCATTCCAGAATATTTTATTGAGACAGAAATAAATTTTTTTTCGTAAAACTTTGATAAATATCGCGGGCTACAAACTTTCCAAGATGGGTCGTATGCATAACCTGATCTAGATGATGTGACGAGATTGACAGAAAAGAAATTTTCAAATTGAATGACGAATATTTTACACAAGTCTTGTTATATTTAACATGAAAATAAAATTAAAAAAAAAAAAATAAACGGGAAATATTCATAATTATAATAATAATAAAGAAACGATAACTTTAAAAGTCGAAAACATTAATGAGATTGTCCTTTTGTAATAAATATATATATATATATAAAAAAAAAAAAAACGAAAAAAAATTCTGATAAGAACTTTCTCGGCGCTTATTTACGATGTCATTATAACCGTATAAGTACAAAAAAAAGTAATAATAATAAAAAAAAAAAAAAAAAAACGTGAACAATACAGTACAATATATCGTACAATTTTATATATATATACATTTATATAACGTATATAAATATTATATATTAACTATATGACGAGTATATTCATAATACCCAATGTAATTAAAAAATAATAAGTTGAAAATATAATACATCAATACATCGTCATATTATAAATGTACACGATCGCGGTTTCGATATGGAACATCGTAATTTTTATACTCTTATTTATTTAATAGTAATAATAATAATAATAAGTTTTAATTATCGTTCATAATTATATGTACATATAACACGATTTCATCAGATATATATATATATATATATTTTTAAATATATATATACACGCGAAAAATATTTAAGTAAACGAAAACAATTTGAAGACGCGATGGCGTATCATTTTCAACTACCTCCTACTGTTGATTGTACTGGTCGTCTGTTTCTCGTCTCCACTGGAAATCGTGTCGTACTGCTGTTGCTGATGCTGCTGTTGTTCGTCTTCCGGGATACCGTAAATGGGCGGATTCCCGGCCGGGTCGTATCCCAGCACGGTCAGCATGGGCGCGATGTTGGCCATGTCGCTGACCACGTCGTCGGGTATCTGGCCCACCCATTTGGTCAAAGCTTCTTGGTACAGCGGTCTGACCACTTGGTCCGAGGAACGTTCCACCCTGCGCACACGAATTATCACGGTGTAAGCAGATAATAATAACATTATTTTACGATTAGGATGAAGTTCTCAACAAGACTTAAGATAAGCAAAGGCACGAACTAAGGCAGTACGAAAAAATATATATATATATATATATGTAAAGTCGAAATTATGCGGAGTACAAAAATGTGTCGGTGCATGCAAGATAACAGTCATAGGCGCAATTAGAGGGGGCTGGAGGGGCTTAGCCCCCTCAAACCATTCAAAGCCCCTCTTCTCAAAAACCACGCAGAACTTTATATTATTATATTGATGAATAAAAAAAAATAAGTGATTACTAATGAAAAAATGAAATTTATTTTTATTTTTAAGTTATACTTGCCTACCAATAAGCATATAAAAAAAAAAGTTTCTGAGAAGCAGTGATTGAAAAATATATGGGAGTAGCTGAAGCTCCCCCCCAAATTTTTTACTCTAATTGCGTCTATGATAATAGTATACAACATTACGGCCCGAACATGAGAAATTCGTATTTCAAAGGTGCGCGGTGGCGTCGGCGTTGGCGTATATGTCCGTACGAGTGTATCGTCGAACCAAATTAAGGCTTTCGTGTCGCGTGCGTGCGTGTAATATAATAATTATCATTGCAAAGATCCAATTCGTAAATGTAATTTCGTACGTTCAATCGATCTCGCCGAGTCTCAAGCACACAGATTACTGTTATGACGATATAGTCCAGCGTTATATATTGTCAACGCATGACTTGCCAACACTAATAATATGCAAATGCTCATTAGGATCTGTGCGCACAGCCTACACGATTATAAACGAGTATATACACGGTCCGCCACTTCGTTATACAGCAGCCAAATCGTAGATGATGTATAAGTATATTGGTAAATATATACATAGATCAACGAATCCTCGACCTATGGAGAGGCGTAAACATAATTCATGTAACGTAATAATATCGATTCTACGCTTGCAGCCAATTATTTCGATTATAATTGAGTTTCCGAATACAAAACGGTACCACAGAATAATATTAGATTCAAAACAAATTACCGAAATTTCCATTAACAGAGAAATCACATTTTTAAAATAATTATAATACTACGTGTGTAATTTTATTTCGAGACACTGCATACAGTATTCGCTTAAGTTTTAAAATCGAATCCATGTGCACAGCGATTTCGTTCGCAAAGGCTGGATTGCACTAGTTATTTTAGGTTCGATTTATTGGTTTTGTAAAAAACGAGTACGATGTGAATTAAAAATCGAGATTTAGACGATGTTCTTGCGGTATTTATCACGGCACAGTGTTCAGTAATAATTATACGCGTTTTGATAACTTTCGTTAGTTTTTTATTTAATTTTTTTTTTAGCTTTTAAATGTTTTAACGATGTTTAATTCACAAGACTCAACGTGCATTCGGTTGATTTTTATACGATTGACAATCACCATTGAATGTGTGTGACACGGAACGTCACATTATATATTCGAATAAGAGGAGGTCATTTACATAGGTCCTCGAGAAGCAATTTGAACAACTACCTGTGATATGCGTTTGTGTGCGGGGTTAGGATAACACCGTTATAGTTTCCGGTCGGGATGCATTATCTTAACAACGAAAAAGTACAAAACGGTAATAGGGTTTTATACCGTTAACTAAATCAGCCGAATTTTTAGTTTCGGCTATTTTCTGTCCGGATCATTATAATGATACTCGCGCAAACTTTGCGAATTTCTCGTACTACGTCGGTTTTCGAACTAACAATATTGATCGGTGATAATCGTTGTCGACGTTATCATCATCATCATAATTTACAAAGTTCGAACACAATAATGTAGCATTTTCCGCGTTGTCGGGGTAGTAGTTGCAACAATAGATTTCGGTCAGTTCGCCGTTGGACGGGGTCCGTTTTTAATGATGAAAAACAAAGCGAGTAAACTCTCCGCACGTTCACATAATTTGTACACGCTAATGCGAAATATAAAATACTTTTTAAACGCAGACTAAATGGTTTGTGCATTAGAAATATTGAAAAGTCTCGGTCAAGTATAGATATTATTAGTTTACTGGCCTACTGGAAACTTGATACTGGACAACGACAAAATAGCAACGGGATGGGAACAATATCTTGGAGCTTTATACCGAAAAGGAGGAACAACCAATCTTAATAATAATAATAATAATAAACCAGATATGCAGGGAGAGTCTCTTAAGAGACGAGTTCAATAAAACCTGTACCTAAAAAGCAACAGCTGATAAATGTAATGAATTAAGAACGATAAGTTTCATGGCACATGCAGCCGAAATCCTAATAAAAATAATATGCCACCGAATCGAGAACACAGTAGAAAACGAGTTAAACGATGATCAAATCGGGTTCAGAAGGAACAAAGGTACTAGAGAGGTAATTTTAAGCTTAAGAATATTGATAGAAAAACAAATAGAAATTTAATAATGACACATTTATAGCATTTATAGATAAGGAAAAGGCTTTTTATAATGTACCGTGGAAAGAACTATCCTATAATTTAGAAGAAAATGGAGCTAACTATAGAGATAGAAGGATAATATATAATTTACACAAAGACCAATCAGTTACAATTAAAGTAACGGACAAAAAAGAGACAGCGATAATTAGAAAGGGTGTATGATAAGGTTGTCCACTATCACCAATTATATTTTATATATATATATCGAACAACCTATAAAAGAAATAAGAGAAGAACTGCACAGAAATAATATAGACATAAAAGTGGGCGGCGAAATAATATCCTTCTTAAGATTTGCTGACGATATTGCACAACTAACAAATGATGAGCATGATTTGGAGAAAGCACTGGAAGAAATGACGAGATACTTCCAAAAATATCATTTGATTATCAACGGGTAAAAAACTAAAGTTATGATGTGCTCAAAAATAAGAACGAATCCGTAGAATTAATATACAAACAGGGAACAAGCTGCTTGAACAAGTAGAGAACAGTGGAGAGCGAATATCCAATTGCAAAACCAACCTTAAGGGTTGAATACCAAAAAGAAGAAGTTTGCTGGTTTACATGAATAATGTTTGCAAAGTATCACTTTAAAGTGCAAACATTTTAATTAGATTTTAAATGTATTTCAAACGATTTTATAGTACTAAATATATATATATATATATATATATATATATATATATATATATATATTAATATACTCGTAAGCAGGTCGGGTAATAATACGATTATAATAGTGAACAGAATAAATGTAGAAAAAGTAAACCATGTTCGTATTCAAATCGATTAAATGTCAATAACAAATATTGCCTAACCGACCAAATATGAATACACGTAACGGTAACAATACACACCGAATGTGAATGTAACGTATCGTCACGTGAATGGACGGATGGGATGATGAACGCACTCAACGGCACAGTCTTCGACCCAGAGCAAACAACGTCATCAACACGATCCGAATCCACCGTATGATATCAATCAACACATCCGTGCGACACATGAACTCTTCACGTTTGTGTGAAATTACATTGGTTATTTTTTATGCACGCCACGCGCGTTCGACGTAAACATATCTTTACAATATTAATATACGGATCTCTTGATTATGCACGTACACGCGGCACCCGTCGCATACGTAATCGCGACGATGACTGGTAATTACAATTATTGTTGATGTATTATAATAATTAGTTTAACGTTCACGGCGCGCCCGGTGGCGCTAGAACACCGATAGTAATTATTAAGGTCGCAATCGAAAAATACCGTTTTATTTTTATTAATTACGAATTTCCAACACTGATTATGAGTCGAATTCAAATTATATCCAAAGACTGAAACGTTAATGCAGTCGAAATAATAATCTTCCATATTTCAAAATATTTTGTTCTGTTTTAGATGGGTTTTTTTTTTTTTGAACAATTTTCCACGAATGAAATAACACATCCGCAGAAACGTTATAGTTGTGTGTTTGAATATACATTTATAATAATTATAATAAATAAATGACGAGGACGTTTCAATTGAATGCACGATGCCTATCAAGAGCATAATTGCGGACTGAGTAAATAAGTCGACTATAGGTAGACGTTTAAAAGCAATTTGATTAAATCATTGCGTTTAACATTTCAAATCTCAACAGAAATTATCTTTTAATACTTCGCCGTAGACCGCGGACGGACATAGTAATTTAAAACGTCAATACGTATTATGTACAGCTCAAAGACAACGACATTATAGCAAACAACGATAATGTATGCATCGATCTTAAAGCTTTAAATAATTTGTTTGTGCTGCGTTTTAATTTGCTTGTCATTCGATTTAGTGCTAATTGAAGCGGAAAGAAAACCTAATACTTCAACAACGGCCAATCGAGTTTTACTATTTGTCCGATAAGTTCTTAACAGAGTTTCAAATTGGTAGTATAAATCTTTAATACTTAATAGATAACTATTGTGTGTATCAGTGAGGAAATATAGTTTTCCCATTTGACCGTTAAACCAACAAGTTGTTTAGTTATTATCTAAAATTCTGCAATGGTACACTGCCAAAGCCGATAAACATCACAAATGCATTTTGAGGTGGTTTCAAAGAACTCGTCTATAGCCGAATTACAGTGATCCGCTCGTTCGTCAAGCGCTAAAAGCGGTCAACGCATATTAGAAATATTGGCCTAATAAATTCAATTAGAAACGTTAATAATTACCGTTTCGTATTTCTTTTGTTAAACCGTACAAATTCGTTATAACAAGAATATAATTTGCTGTAATGCGCGAACAAACACAGATAAAAAAATTAAAAAAAATAAAAATAAATATTATCGACGAGTAATCTATATATTTATATATACATTTTTGAAATATCATTGACTGACTGATCATCTACAAATACCATACCAAATCGTTTTAAATGTTAAAAAAATGTATCTATTACTATGTGTAAGCATACTAAGAAAGAAAGTCGTATTTTTAAGAGTTGCACCAGTTACGGGCTCCGGGCTAGATGAACACATTATTTCACTTTTTTGGTTATACATGAAATATATAATCAGTGGAACCTCGATAAGTCGAAAACTTTGATATTTCGAAAAAAATTCTGTTCCCCTGCGTAAACCTAGATTACTTGAAATACAAACTATAGATAACTCGAACAAATTGTGCTCCGAATATAGACGGATAATGACGGATGGCTTTATAAACAATTGTCTAAACGTTCCGATGATTTTTTTTTTAATCGCGTTTATTGTGTTTATTATCGTATGTATTAATTAATCTCGGCAAACAGTTTTTTTATTTGTATCATTATTGCCAGTTGCGATCCATCGGTTACACGTGTGCGGTGTCTATGTACGGTAATAAATATAAATATGCCTCGTAATATAAAAACGCTTACTATTGCAGAAAAACAAAAGGTTCTTGAAGTAGTGAAAAGTGGAAGAAAGAAGAAGGAAATTGCCGAAATTCCAAATTACCAGCCAGCACATTATCTACCATTAAAAAGAATAGTAAAGAAATTGATTTAAAATTTCCAACAGACCGGAAGAGGAAGAGAGGCCCTGATTTTTCAAACGTAGAAGAATGTTAAGTGGTTTAAACAATGCATAGATGCTAATGTCAGTATCGGAGGTCTTATTTAAAAAAAAAAAAGCACAACATTTCGTAAAGTCATTAGGCCACGAACAATTTAAGGCCAGTAACGGATGGCTTGAAAATTTTAAAAAACGACACGATATTGCTTTTAAAAAAGTCTGTGGGGAAAGTACAGCTGTCAGTGATAATGTTGTAAATGAATGGAAAATAAATTTGAGTGAGCTACTGGAAGAATATAAACCATGTAATATATTTAATGCAGACGAAACTGCACTTTTTTTACAAATGTATGCCAGTTAAAATTTTAACATTCAAAAATGAGAAATTTAACGGTGGTAAACTAACAAAGAACGACTCACACTATTATTGGCTATTAACATGACTGGTACAGATAAACTGAAACCTTTAATAATCGGAAAATCGTAAAAACCTAGGTGTTTTACTGGTGTTAAATTTTTTCTTGTTGACTACACAGGAAATAAGAAGGCATGGATGACTAGTGAATTTTTTGCGGAATGGCTATTACGAATAGACAAACAAATGAAAATATAAAAACGTAAAATTTTATTGTTTATAGACAATTGCCCGGCTCACAATATTATACCGACTTGTCAAGCTGTAAAAGTAAAATTTTTACCGCCAAATACCATTTCAAAATTGTAACCTTTGGACCAAGGAATTATTAAAATGTTCAAGACGCTTTATAGAAAAGAAATTGTGAGGAAAATTATAAGTGATATGGATGACGAAAAATCTACAGTAATCGATATTCTTCAAGTTATGCGTATTGTTGATAAAACATGGAAGAACGTAACAATGACAACAATCGTGAACTGCTTTAGATCATGTAGATTTGTACTTGAAACTGAGAAAGACGACACATTGATGCTTGTAATCGAAAATACTGATACGGAGAATGGGCGCGGATAACAAGTTGTAATGGAATCGCAGAAGAAACCTTTGATGATTTAGTTGAAATTGATAATGACGTTGCCATTTCTGGTATTCTGACAGACGACGATATAACTGATACAGTTCGTGGCACTGAAGATGTTGATGACGCCGAAGAATTATTATCTGAGCCTGTGCATCGTGTGTCAATGAAGCAAGCAGCAGCAGCAGCACTAATGTTGCTAAGGACATTCACCGAATAATTAAGTAATATGAACGATAAAGTTTACTTTGCTTTAAATGTAGTAGAAAATACTATTGATAATACGAGCACTGTCTCAAATTTTTAGTCAAAGTAAAATAACAAATTATCAATTATAAAGTTGCAACACATGTTTTATTTATTATCGTATTTTTTTCGTGATGATTTTTTTAAATTTAAATAACTTACATAATCACATTGTTCTACATTGTATTTAATACTACTTAAAAACTTTAATACATACATACATTTTAAAAACTCTTAAAGTTGAATTTTTTTTCTAAAACCTTGGTAACTCGACACCTCGATAAGTCGAAAAAAATTGCATTTCCTTTGAATTTCGACTTATCGAGGTTCCACTGTATATAAATACCAATTGAGATAAATTTAAATTGCGTAACCCATATGTAGATATACATATAGACTAAAAATAAACATTATTAAAATATACAACTGTTGTGCGCTGCTTTTTTCAGCCTAAATTTTTTTTTTTTACATCGAAATATTGCTTTCGTCTAAGACAGTAGAATATCTTCCGGATGATTCAGCTACAAATGATATATGATTTATTAATATTCATGAGTAAAAAGAAAAAAATATAATCGTCGTAATTTATGATTCATAAACTATAAAAGTACAGAACGGTCTTTAGCCCAAATAGATATAATGTGTAAATTATCATATTACAATGGTGTACGGACGTAAATGAAAACCGTGGATTATAATAGAAGTACAAGGTACAAACGATAAAATTAGCGCTATGTAACGTAGAAACATGTTCGGCACGTGTATGTTGAAATATAATACGATTACATTTATGTAAAATGATGAAAACGTTTTCGTGTGTTTATTTTGCACAGTCGACTCGTGGAGTTTCATTAAAATATGAAATACAAGCGCTATTGTTTTCTGTACTGGCACATTTGTGATATCGTTAACGATCGGTGTTAATTTTTGGCAATGACTATTTGTGAATGAAAATCAGAGCCAAACACGTATTTGCAATGCGATTTAAATGAAAAATGCCGAGTCGTTTACTATAATTAGGCGTGCAATTTAGAGAAATGCGAATGCTGCACAGTACGTACATCTTGTACAGTAGTGTTTCAGCGAAGGGCTTTTTTTCTGGCGACAGCTCCGTCTCCAACATAAATCCGGCTCTACTGCAGATTGTAAATCTGACAAAAGTAGACGACGACGTGCCAAGTGCTACTTGTGCAGGATAAAACGCGAACGTGCGCGCAAATACCGTGTAATACATTTTGTAACCGTCGAGGGTGGTTTGAGCCGAGAGCAAACTTTCTTAGCGCATACAAAGGAAATACGAAAGTTTTTCCTCGATCGTAACGCATTCCGTATCACTGTGTTCGAATCCAATTGCATTATCTACGTATAACAGATAGTGCGACTGTATTGCGTAACATTCCCATCGATCATACTCGCGATTTATGACGTTATTCATCCCCTGGGAATCTTTTATAGATCGCTGTCGATGTCAAATGACATTTTATTCGAATCGTTGGGACGAGCGCGTACGCAATCGTTACAAAAAAGAGATGTACGTGCATATAGTTAAACGTGTAATCTAGTGTAACAGTATACGAAACGTATTTATTTTTATTTTTATTCGAACATATACGTGAAATTTTGACATTTTCTGAGCATATTCCAGCCATTTGTCACGTAGTTGACCGCGATTATGTGGATCGATTATCATCCAAGGAAAACGAATTGAATAATCGAACACGGTCTACGATTAACATAGCTCTGTGCACACAGTCCTTGGCTTACTATATACTTGTTGTAGGCGAGGGCTAGTAAAAATAATTGAAACTCTGATGCAGAAAACCATATCGTACCAGTGCTACAGCGAATCGCACGGATAACGCACGGATCCATATTGCATACAAGACTGGCCATTGTTAATGAAAAACGTAGTTCTTGTTTTTTTTTTTTTTTATAGATTTTACCACATACTTATACTTAGACGGATTATTATAAATAAACGGATGTGTTATTACATGGACAGTGCGATTCCTCCTGGCTTGTTGATCATCTCGTTATGATGAAGCACAGTCTCGTTCCATGGAATGTCCAGGAAGTTGAGTATCTTGGTCAACGTGGTCCGGGGTCTGAGCACCAGCTGCTCGTAGTACACCATCAGGCAGTACCCGGAGCCGACTTTGAGGCAGTTTTTGTACATAACGGTGATGGCGTCATCCCATTTTTCCAGACACTGCCTGTAGCTGTTCAAATCGAAACCGGTGATTGTCACCTGAAACAAAATGGCGTCACGTTTCGTGTTAACGATATCATTACACCCTATCACTGGTACACGAACGCATAGAGGTGGTGGTGATGGTGGTCCTTTTGAACTTGATTACAGAGTTCACATGAAGCAGTGGTTTTCAAAATTGTTTAAACGCGATGCACTGTGCATGAGTTCATAGGGCTATCACGGAATTTTAAACATTTTTTTCTTCTCGTAGTCATTATTTATTTGTATTTAAAGGTAATAGAACGTTGAGGGTAGATAATTTTTGTGGCATATAGTTTGAAAACCACTGGTATAGAGCGACGAAAGCAAAGAAGAAACGTATTCAAGGTAGGATAACAAGACACGAACACTGCGTATGAATAATAATACACGCAAAGAGAAGTTATTCATCATGCTTATTCTACTCAATTAAGATAATTAAATTTTTTTACCTTTATTTTAATACATCACTAGAAAGAGTAACGAAATTCTTCGACATTATTATCAAGTATTTGTTATATCAAGGGTATGACACTGTTGTCTGAATAATTTTGTTATGTAAATAAGGTTAATAATGTCATAATGTCAATAAGGCACAGTGAAATTTGTGTTCATTTTCGATATACTTTGCATACAATTTTCATAAGTAAAACTATGCGTGTTAACTGTACTCATACTACGCATATATCTTATTTTTTGGATGAGTTCAATGTATGTACATACAAGGTTGAAATAAAATCTCGAAATCAGATATTATTGAAATCTAATAGGATTCATTCTTCAATTAAAAACGGTTCGATAAAAGTTACACAAACTATTATAACCTAAGTCGGTGTGCTTGTATTTAAGATACGTTGTATTTCACATTACTTCGATAGTGTATTAAAAATAGAATTATAATAATATTACTAGGGTTGAGAGGAGACGCTAGAAAACCTAAACTATGTCCACTACGCCGAATTCGACCTCGGGTTTTAATAATAACGCGGAGTCTTATTGACATACTACAAAATCACATTTATTTCAATAAACTGTTGCTACTCACACGTTGTCAGATCAACAAAAAGTGTCCAGTCCTTACAGTTACTTTTTACGACAGTAATCGAAGTATTAATAGTCTCTTTTTAGCTCGAAAACGTGTCGAACCTGACGTTGAGTTGATTCGACTGTCAACCCTTCTCAAATCACTCGCATCCAATGAAATATGTATGTATATAAATATACATAAATATACGTATATATTTATAAATGTATTAGAATTTAAATAACTACATGCCAAAAGTAACAACACAATATCAACGATATATTCTACTACCTACTCGATGACCGAACGGGTAATTACTTTTCTTATGGAAATGACTTTGACATACAATATTATGAAATCGTATTTCCAGTAGAATAAAATTATCACGTTATTAACGTAATAACCACATAAAATAAACCCATCACGTAAAATATATTTTAAACTATTTGATTTATTCAGAAAGTTTAATTATTAAAGTTTATTAAGTTTCGAAATTATTCTGCTAATAAGATCATTAATAGTCGTATTTTATTTTAAGTATTGTACGTTCTCGTTCAGAGTTGGCTGTTTTAGTTTAATTATTCTTTAAATATTAGTGCTTCCGTTACACATGAAAAAAAAAGGTACGGACGAAATTAAGTTTTTAAAGCGTATTTATTTATAACGCTATTCACGAAAACTTCTGAAAATTATCGTTTCAGCATTGTATAATTCCAAGTAACATTTATATAGTAGAATTTTTAATTTATTCAATTAAAAACTTTCAGTAAGAATTATTATAGCTTAACAATTACTGAAATATATTGAATAGCTAAACAATTAATTACGAAAATTGTATAAAATAGTATTATTATAGAAAAATTTTGTGTGAACAATTTTTTTTATTAGTATTTTATTTCATATGAAGTTTTTAGATTCGTAGTAAAGTAGGGACTATGTTTATAATTTAATTAAATAAAATCAACATAAGATTGACAAAAAGTGAAAATTTGTTATAAAAAAAAAATTATTAAAACTTACCGAAAATATAGGAAACACCCTTTACAAATGCACGTAGCACAATACGTAAATTTTCTCCAAATTCTAATACAACTATATGCACGTTTAAGTTATTACTCTTTTAAACGAAATAGAAAAGAATAAACCCAATACAAATCCTTTGGGATTAAATTTAATGTTTTCGTTGGATTTCTGTTAAGAAAAACTTTGAAAAATAATATAGTTTTAACAACGTAAACACGTCATTTATTAGGATAATATATATGCGTGTGTGTGTGTGTGTGTGTGTGTGTGTATGTGTATCACATACAGAAGTAATTAAGAATAATTAACGTGTAGGAGAGAAATTATAGTTTTCGAAAATTAAGTTATAAGGGGATAAAAAAAATAAAATATACCAATTATAATAAATCATTTTTTTTTTTAATTCTTAAATCGAAAAATCTAATGAGGTTTTAAATTCTAGTTTTTCCTCCACGCGGGCAGGGGATTAAACCAGTTACACTCCGCCCAATCATTAGTACCCTTCATTTCGTAGTACACGACGCGGATGATTATCATAAATGGTATTAATAACAAGTTCACCTGAGCACGACGTACATTCTTAATCTAGCGCCACCCACCACGTAATTGCTGTTAACACTTTACTCGTAACTACCCGTGATCGGCGCCCGCCACTGCTTTTTCATTCGTTGTAAGCAGTGGCGGCCGCTGATCACGAATCGTGTCGTATTTTCTAGTATCTAGTTTATAATCAGGATATTTTTCAAACATGTTGCTCACTCTTCGCGATATGATCGAATGGACCGTGGCCCGGCCGTCGCGCACCATGAATATGTACTTGGCGTTCGGGAATAACACCTTCAGGTAGTCCATGGACTTGAGCGCCAACGGGTCTTTGTTGCACAGCCGGGGCGCAGGGACGCCGTGTCGGGCGATCACTTCCAGTATGAACGAGGCGACCGCGGAGTTGATCACTTCCTCGGACACGCCGGCCTCCTTAAGTCGCAGCGACTCCTTAGATGACTTGTACCAGTGGTTACGCATCTGCAGGATCCTCGGCACCACCCGCGTTTCCTGTCCGCACCTGCGTAACGAGACGAGCGACGACGAGTTAATAACACGTAGCACATTAAATATATTTCGTATGGGGTGATATTACAAGCACATTCGTGTTTTTATTTTACTCTCTTAGACTATTTAATAGGTTAGGTCGAAAAAAATTATTTTTTGATTCTGGAATCTCAATAGTGCGAAAAAGTTGCAGTATGGTATCCTTGATGAGGAAAAAATAATTAAAAAGTTTATTTCTTTAGTTTGTGCATTGAGCTTAAAGTTTGAAAAAAAAACAGTCAAAAAATGAATATTTTGACAATTTCATTAAAAATATTAAACCAATATTTATAAAATTCAATACATTATATTATATCTATTATAGAGCTTTCGAAAACAAAAGTTATATACTATATTAAATAATAATAATATTATATTAAAGGGTTTATTAATTTTCCATGTCACACTCAAATTGTGGAAAGAATCGTAAAGCTGGTTATGAAGTATTTTATAAAAGTATGTGGAGAATAAAATAGAGACAGTTTATAAGAACAAAGTTACTTTCAAGATCAGCAATGCCTTTACTTAAACGCAAAAAAAAATTTAAAACACTGCCAAACCTTTCTGATGATACTTAAAAAATAATCACAGATTTGTGTACTATTATTTAATGACTAATACATTTAAAAAATATTAATTTTATAATTTTTATGAAGTTGTCAATATTTTTAATTTTTAACTGATTTTTTTTCAAACTTAAGCCCAATGCACCAACTGATGGAATAAACTTAAATAAAATCACGACGGCCGAACAATTTGTGTCACAGCACCAAAAAGTGCTTGAAAATAATTTCAAATTTTACGTTTCGAATGACTAATCGACCTTTAAGTTCAGATGGGGTTAAGTAGCGATGTACAGCTAATACGGGGATATGCTAAGTGCATTTTTATTATACTTAGTTTATTTTTATTTATTTTTTGTAGCTCAAGTGCACCCACGGTTTTATCGACAAATCATATTATTTATTTATGGTAAGCTAATTCAACAAAACTTTTAAGATGCAAGTTGGATGATCGAATATGGTGGTTTAAATTTACAACTATAATGTTTTATACTTAAAGGACCATTCAACTAAAAAGTCAATAATTATTTTATTACCATAATAAATAGAATACAGTCTATCTAGGAAAATGGTACAACTAAAATTCGTTTGTGACTATTCGTTCGCTAGTCACGGTGATTTTTGACATTGCCCGTGTCGTCACGGATTAGTTCGCCGAGGCAGCTGCCATATATAACACACGGCAATATGGCTGCATCACGATTGCGCAAAAAAATTTGTAACACTGTTCTAACTTAACCTAACCTAACCTAACCGCCCCAATCCCTTTTTACCTGATAAAATCACAACATCATTGCGCACCAAATAATATGTATAATAATTTATGTACAACATAAAATAATGTATACAATACATACTTTCTCTATATAATTTTCATATACATGCACTCAAACTTATTACCTATTAATTCACAATTGTATATGGTGCGCAATGGTGTTGTGATTTTATCAGGTAAAAAGGGATTGGGGCGGAATCATAGTGTAATTTTTTTGCGCAATCGTGATGCACCGGGATATATTTATCAATTTTTGGTTTAACATAAAATAACTGCTAATGAACTTATTTTTTTTTCGAATGAACTAATCAAATGTATTTAAGAGTACCTCAAAATTTTTCCATTTATTCCATCCATCCATTATATCACATTTTGGTATAATCTTGTAGACAAAAATAATACTTAGATAAATTATATTACGAATTTACCATACATTCACTGCAGTAAACGTGTGTAATATTCAGAGCTCGGGAGTTAAAGCATTTGGTTATTTTTATGGATTGACTTAAAATGTTGCAGAGTGCTATAGAAGTGTATGTCAAGTTATAACACATACAATTATGAAATTTGAAAGTGCCATTTTTTGTTTTTTCAGCAATTTTTAAAAAAAAATACTTATTTCCAATTTTTCTAATTATTTTTGCTTATTTGACCAGTTTTTTTTACATTTTTATAGTTTTCTCCTGCAAAGTCGTTTTTGATAGAATTAAAATTTAAAAATAATTCTTATCTTATCTACATTGTCACGTCGCCATGCAAGGCATCATTGTATGGTTAACAAAAATATTCCAACGTTGAAAATAGAACTGAGTGTCTAACGTCAGAATGATTAAGAACAGAGAAAACAGTTTACATTTTATTTTTCAGAAAAATTCCTTAGAAAGTCTATAAAGTCCTTTAAGTCTTGAAAATGTAGATTTATTTTTATTTTGTTTGATTTTTTAGTTACAATTTTATAGTTTTTTTTTTTTATATAAATTATTTTGTTTAATTTAAAATTTTTAAATACCTATTTTAGTGCTTATAATGATGTTTTTAAGTACTTTTTTAAGCACTTGTTTCGATGATTTTATGTGCAATAAGTCCCGAGACCTGGTCATATTGTTTTGACAATCGTAACATCATGTACGGAATTTTGATGCCTAAATTGGCTATTTAGTTTTAACTCGTATCTGTTTCCAGATCATACACTGTTGGTTCAAAATTATATGGTTGAAAAGCCATTATAAAATATATTAAATATATTATATATATCAAGACCAGATTTTGTCAAAAGAATGGCATTTAAACACTAGCCTATTTTAATAATCTAAAATAACTAAATAAATAAATAAAAAACCATTTAAAAATATTTGTATACTCATCCAAATTTAAGGGCGTAAGCTAAAATAAAAAACAACAATCTAAATAAGAAACACTAAATATTTTTAGGGTGTATGCCAGTGCACCTACCCGTGGTGCATCATGGGTTACTCTAAATGAATTGGGGTGCATTCGAGCTACGTCAAAAATATGACATATTTTTTTTCTTATAACGCACTCGGTGATATCTCATTAAGGACAGAGTCGGAACAATGATAAAGGGTTTTTTCGGGATGTACTAGGGAAATTGCTGTCAAAACTTGCAAAGCATTTTTTAAAACAATAAAGGATGATGATGGAATAACTGAACAATATATAAGCCACAGACATGAATCATTAAGTGATCAAAAAGCAATTCATGACTGGTATTCTGAAAAGCAAGATAACCGAAGAAATAAGCACCAAATCTAACAAAAGATTTTGTCATACCATTAACCACAAACGAAATATTTATAAGTAAATTATATACGTAGTGTTAAAATTACTTTATATAACGATAGAAGAAAAACATCTCTACTCCCTAAATCTATCAAAGAAGTTCAATTAGGTATTGACGAACGGGCGTTCAATTAAATAGACAAGAGCTATTTTTATAAATAAACAACAAGGAGCTGAAAAATGTCGTTTTGAGTTGCATTTCTAATTTAAAAGCTCTTGCAATATAAAAATTGTTGTACATGGACAGTACGTTTTCAAACTGTCCTTAACACTACACAAATATTTACAATACAAGATTTTATCAATGCCTAAAATATACCACTCATTATATGTTTATTATCAAATAAAAATACGATACCTTATACTAAATGCCTAATATATTTTTGTGAATACGGGTTTTCAAAACAATATTACGATATCATCATCCAATGTTATAACAAATTTCGAGAAAGTTATTCATTTAGCCTCAGATAAAGGTACATTTTCAACCAACACAATCGTGGAATAGAAATATCTAACAAAATGTCTTGAGTATTAACTATAGAGATAAGTACAGTGATATTAAAAAGTGGTTAATTCATGGTACGGTAAGCCATTTCTAAACCGAGAAAGTGAATCTGATTATTATGTAAATTATCTCTTGAAATTTAATCACTATGATGAAAGAGTGACAGGATTTGCGGATTATTTAACAGATGTATATAAGTGAAGAAGCTCATCCAATAAAAATATTTGCTTAAGCATCAGCAGAGCCAACTTAAACCATCAATACATGCGAGTCATACCATTCTCATTTTAATTCTAGCTTACTTTTATACAATTCATTTAAATATTTTTTTGTTTATAGAAAATTTAAAAAATATTCATTTAGAAACAAACATTAAATTAAATAGTGTAAATAAACTTTTTAAATATAAAAATTCTAAGACGAAAAAAAATAAATAAATTAGTATATACATAATAAATACATTAGTGGTGAAACACCAATTTATCATTATGTATCAACAATATGTTATTACTTGTCCTAATTTGAGATTTTTAAAATTAGATTTTTTTGTTTACATTTTTCCACTAGATAAAAATTCGGGCGGAGTTTACGTGTACGATTTTGTGTTTACCTGTGCATTGGGCATAGCTTACAGTCACCACAAATTCTGATTTATGGAAAATGTATCCGAACTATAAGACTTTATTTGTATTTCAATACATTGATTTTCACACAAATAATTATTTAATTAATTTTTTGGGATCAACTATTGTAATATAATCAATATTTTGACTAATACTTTCGGAATTATTCAAATTTAATGTTGCATATGAAAAATGAGAATAAATTAAAATATTGATATTTTTTATTTGTATAATAAGAGTACCATGATAAATACTCACATTAACTCGAAATAGTAGTGAATAACGATTAAATAAAATGACAAATTATATTTCTATATCATAAATAATAATGATTTTGTAGTTTGAATCACAGAAATTACACCAAGTATTTAATAATTAAATTTGAATAACACCAAAAGTACAGGTCTAAATTTTGACTATGTAAGATCAAAAACGGCCAAAAGATTAACTCAATAATTATTATTTAAAATCAAAAGCTGATATTACCACAGGATACTAATTATGAATTACAAACGATGTATCGAAAAATAAAGTTTTTTATAGTGGATATAATTTTTTTTATAAATTATAATTTGAAAATATTCATAAATTAAGCATAAAAAGAGGGAAGCATGCTTAAAAATCATTCTATATAATCTTTCGTCTACTACTTACCGGACGTCTGGGTGCGCGTCCAACATTGCTCTCATGAGCGTGGTGCCGGACCTGGGCACGCCGCCGATGAATATCAGAGGCATGTTTCGGTCGTAAGTGTACACCTTCATGTTCTCGTCGGTGACGAATTTCTGAAAGAGAGAAAAATCAAATTTTTATTAATAAGAACTACGGGATTTGATGTATAAAATATATGTTATAAGTTATAATTTATGATTATTGTTCAAAGACAACACTGTGATTTTTCACATTAATCGTAGTGGAATAATATTGCTCATACGAATCGTTTCATGACATATTATTTGTTCAGGCGAAAAACGATCTAGTCATTCTACCATCAATTCAAGGGACGTATAAATTATTTTATTTTAAAATATTGAAAAAGAGAGGACCATTGAAATTGTTTGGCAAATCCTTATTTGAGGAAAACACGATTCCTGAGGGGGATGAATTTACGCCGATATTAAACCAATAACGAAATTACCTTATTACGCCGAGGGCACAGGATTTTGGTAAGATACGTAATTATTATTGTGCGGGATCGTGCTGTATTTATTTGAAAAACGAAAGGAACTGTAATAGTACGAAATCCATGTACACGAGCAAGCTGTACACCCCATTTATGTATAGAATGGATTAAATAATAAATCTCCAGATGGTTGAATTTCAGTACGTGTAATCCGTCCTGTTTTTAATATTTTAAATTATTTTCGCTCTAAACGATTCGGATAAACAAAATATTGGTAATTTGGTTATTAATAGAATTATTGGTTCAATGGAAAATATTACAAGCACAAAACGATTTTCTCAGAACAATAACGAAAAAAATAAGTCACGAAATGTGTAATTGATACATATAGGCGATTTGACCCAATTTATTTTCTCGATATGCTTTGAATACGAACGAATGAAAGAAAATCGCAGGAGATTTTTTTTTTTTTTTACAACCTTGGTGAACTAATAAACTAGAATATTAGAGATTACGTGAGTTTATAGCTAGTTTGCACGATGCTATGAAACGGAATGTATACGTCGTGATCACACGAAATTATGTAATAAAAAGTGCTGCACAAAGAAGAACGGAAATCCGAACGTCCAACGAAATATTACTACGATAGACGGAATAAATGTTGGCGAGAAAGATATTTTTTTAAAGTAATATATCTTGGAATACATAAAAAAAAAACTAGTTCAGTCATGATTAATCAGTTTCAACTATTAATGTTAACCGGACACGTATTCATCAGTGTCCAAATAGTTTTTCCCAAAAACACGATACTTTTATATTCGTGCTAACTTTGCGTTATACTAGATTATGATTATTATTTCACAACCTTCAATAAAATAAATAGATCCAGTTCGGATTTATAAACGTATCCAACTCAATGGATATACAATTTAGGACAAAGTTATATCACATTCAACCACATTACATATAAATTATCAAAGTTCTGCAATCAACTTATTTATAAAAATTGATTTTTTTTTTTCCTTAGCTTTTCCTTGATTAAAAATGTGTAAATATCGAGTTATTTTTTTGTTCTTTTAGGACGTGACAACTTTGTATATAGATATATTTAATATGACATTCAGTTTTATTTTTAATGTTTATATTATGATATGTGTATATAGTTATATGACGAAAGAATATGCATACGCTTCGGTACGTATGCGTAAAAAATTAAATAATTGTTTCTGAAAGAAATCGGCTCGATCTTCGATTGGTAATTTAAAAATTCCGAAACAAAGAGGCCGAGTGCGTTTGAGTAGACATCGTAAACCACGTCGTGATACGGTTTGAAAGTTATCTACGAATCCGATTGTTTATGGTTTATTTCGATTTACATGAAATAATCGTTTAAAAAAAAAACCGCATCGGTCTCGTTCAACAAGATGTTTTTATTATTTAATTAGACATATTCAACGAATTTATTTGTGAGTGCAGGTATGCACAGGTATATTATAGGCGTACTACCTATATCATCCTACATACCTACCTAAGTGCATTGTACACCACAACAGTTGCGAAGATTATAGATTATTATTATTCCTCACTGCCCCCGCGGTCATAATAATATTTTATTACATTTGATCCGGATGAATTTTAATAAGTTGAAATACATATGGATTTTAATATTAATATGAACTTGGTGCGGAACAAAACGTTTTCTTATCGTGTTTTATCTTAACATGGAAATTTTCAAACCCGACGGCGGCTTACTGGCGGCGGGCGTGGGTACAATATCACAACAATAAGTCAAAATTTATTAAATCTGCCTTATGATTATCCGTAATAATAATAATAATAATAATAATAATACTGTAAAAAGGAACCGCACGTCGACCATAAAGAGACATTTTAGTTATAAATAATAAGAGTGAAAAAATAATGGCGTAAATTGCAATAGAAAAGAATATGTATATATATATGTTGGTATGGAAACAACTTAAATATTATTAACATACATATGTCTAATGAATAAATTTATAACCCGCACGTGCAGAAAAAATTATATTAAATTTTATGTTTAGGTTATAAAATGTTTGTAGACGTTGTATTATGATGTTATCTGATAATTGTTTGTATGGTAAAAAATAAATATTCAACGTGCATTGAACACGTTTTCTGAGACGTTGATAGAGAAAATATAATTACTAAAAACAAGTGATATAATTAAGATTGAAATATATTACAACAAATGTAATAATTGTTTCACAGAAAAGATAAAATAAATAATAATCAAATATGTTATGAGAAATCGAATTAAAAAAAAATTTACAAAATTACATATACGTATAATAACTTTTTTCCGACCGTCCAGTGATAAGAACTAATTTTAGTTAATTATAATTATTATTTTATGTAAGAACATAAATTCTTATTCGTTTTACTATATTTGTCTTTACAGGTTCAATACGGGTTTAAATTATTTCCCGTCGGTGTACCTATATACCTATATGCAAGGAACGTCTCGCAGTCATTAAATATTATGTTTATTACTTATAAAGGTATGTATATATATATATATACAGGTTTAATACATTACGATAAATATTCATTAACGGAATCGATATAAAAAAAAAGGCGAGCGCAGATCCCATTTTTTTTTTTTGTTTTAATCGTTATTCAACCATCGTTTACCCACCTTTATATTTAGGAATATACGTATATAATGGACTTTATATATTCTTAGGCGTAGAAAAAATAATTCGAAAAAAAAAATAGAGTCAACCTGGCTTAATTATGTAGACAACTTTTTTGTACTTCCAAAACCGTATGCAATTTCCGATCAATCGTTTAAAATATGATATTGGACCATGTGCGATGTGTGTGTATATATATTCAGGTGAAACACTCTGACCCTTTGGCTGTAAAGGAACGTTATTGGAAGGTATCCCGCATTCGAGTCGAATTTATCAAATCGACAAATATACCATACATAATGCACACATCTGCAGATGTATATAATACGGGCATACTTATGCGAAGGTTGTTCTTGTGCGCCACGTGCAGTAAAGTTGCTGGCGAGAAAAATCCATCTATTGCCGTATTCTGTTGTACGTGTCCAATTCTAAGTCAGAAGCAGTTAGCGGGTCGAAGCAAAAAAATAAATCATAAAAACCGCTTTTTATATACGGCTAGTAATCACTTTTTCTGATTTCATACACAAAAAAAAAGTAATAAGAAAATGCCAAGCAATTCGAGTCGCAAAAAGCGTTGAACTTATCGAATTTGTATTGGCCGTTTTGAACTTTTATTTTGAAGGCAACAAGATTGGATGGTAACCTATACTTAGGGATACATATTGATACATAGGCAAACAGAATTAGGCGAGCAAAAATCAATCAAATATTACAATATAGTGTCATTAGTGGTGGGCATACCCCGATTTGACAAATCCGAATTATTCTGATTTCATGGATTATCTGGATTCAATTCGATTTTGCTGTTCAACGACTGGTTTTTATAATAACATACATTTAATTAATGTTATGCAGTAAAGATAAGTTAATTGGGTATTCAGTCGACAATCTTATAACTTGTTTTGGTAACCAATAATAAATTATGAAAACTATCGAAGTTATGATAAGTAAACTATGATTTATAAACGTAATATCAATTTGTTGTTAAATTTTAATGGCAATAATATAAAATAATTTTCTTTTACTAGAAATTAAAAATAATTAAAAATAAATAAGTCGCATAAAAATCAAATCCATAAATCCGAATAATAGTTTGATTCAAATCCGGTTTTGAATATTCAGAAAATTCTTTGGATTTTATGCTCATCCTTAATGGTGATCATGCATAATACATATTTTTCTTTCCACTTATGCCAATAATATGCCGATTGTACGTTAACTTTTTAAAGTGGTTTTTGTTATTCCCATGAATGAATATTAATCGATCTCGTGTCGGTCAACTGGCAATAGTTAATAAATAATACGGTAACGTGGATGGTATCGGATGCAAAAAAAAAAATAAATACTTACGTCTTTCGGCATCATGAACATGGTCTGAGGTTCGGGTTCCGGGCATGTGCGCATCTTGTACACCAGCAGCAGAAATATGCCGACAATCAGTCCGTACATCAACAGTTTTCTGCGGCCCCGACTCATTCTGCCCACATGGTTCACCACCTGGAAACGAACAGAACAACACTGGACGTGAGTAAAACAATCGGTTGTCGGGACGAGCGGCGTTCGCGCGCACCGCCGTTTCGCGACGGCGATCGCGCGATGTTTACACGCGCGGCCGACCTTTTCGGATGTAATATCAACACTTACGTCCGACAGGTACCTGACGGCTACGGGCCGAGACGGTGCCGCATACGAGCAGCGTTTATGATTTTTGTGCGTTTTCGTTCGGTCTCTCTCTCTCTCTCTCTCTCTCTCTTTACTCCTTCCCAACGTCAAACGGTCGAATAACAATGATATTGTTCGCGTAACATCCGATCGCGTGTTACGTGGATAAAACGTGCGCGCGCCGCGTTCGTCGCACGCGCGATACGATCATCGCGTTTCGGCGCGCAAATCGACCAACACCGAACCCATAATATTACCGCGTGCGGCGACCGTTACTATTGTTTCCCACTTTCCGTACGTTTTCCTACGGGTATCGTTTTCCCTATCCCTCTCGAACACAAAATTAAGTTCAAAAGCGTAACCGACGCCTAAACTAATAGGTCATAGACAGTAACGAACAGTTTTGTGAACCGTTGAGAACGCGTCGTCTCTCGAAATTGTAATATTAAACCGACTCGTGCGTCCTCTCGTTCGAAATTCCGATCGCATAAACTCCTCTAAAATCAACATCTTTAATATATTTGTTCACGTGGTTCAACAATCTAACGGAAGCAGAAACGATTTTTAATGTACTATCGTATATGTTAAAGAACATATTGATATTTTGCAGTGCAAATTTGAGATCCCTCGTCTCTCGGTGGTACTACATGTTGTCTTGCGGTTCCCCGTCCGAACGGACATCGACATCGACACTTTCTCGATTTTCGAAGAAAAAAAATATAGAGTTGGATCACCGCAGTAATATATGTGTTTAACATACATATACAGAGAGAGGTTATCGCACCATTCCGCTGAGACTTATCTAACAATTGTCTTTAAACGCAGCAATTTTTACTCTCGCGTAACGCACCGTGAGATACTACGAGTATGAATAATTAGACGATCAAAAATACAATAATCATATACATCAGGTCAAACCGTGATTCGTTTCGTTATTACCCGCAGTATTTAAGCGTTGTTACTATCAAATGTCTCAAAACATAAAGTTTTCCGAATGACTTACATATCACATATAAATGCACAGTATGCATAGTATTTGTATGTATGCGTAGGTACAAATACGATAAATAATAATAATAAACTTATTTATTACGCGTTTAACGCATGTGTATATTATTTATTCGTGTTATAGGCTAGTCAGTTCGATTGCAATACTATTGAAATACATAAGTTACACGATGTCATCACATATTATCAAATTATGATGTATTAAGTCTATAGGTGTTTTAAACGATGTCACCAGTTTTCACCAACTGAGCGAATTTTTTTAAAATGTTCTACAAAAACAGTGGGTTAAATTCCGATTATTATTGTACGTGCACGCAGTCGTATCCAACGTCATTATAGAGATATTTAAATTAAATTGTGTTGTTGATACAAAACAACAATTTGTACCATCAGCATGTGACGACCTATTGCGGGAAAAAATAATTGACCAATGCGTGCATAGATAAATAATATAACAAAGTGACGTGTTAAAATAACGTACACAACTATATATTACATATATATTATAATGTTAAATAATATTGATAAAGAAATACGATGTTTGTAATGTGTACTGAGAATATAACATATCAATTGTAACACAGTTTCTAATAAAAAAAAAAAAAAAAAAAACATTATATCATAGATTATAATATAATATTTATAACCAAAGATAATATTATAATCATTTTTATAATAGCTTGTGTTTTGAATTAGAGATCAAATTTTAAACGGGTCTTATCAAGAAAAAAAAATAATAACGTTCACCGTTGTCCTAATTTGTATTTCTTTTTCAACAAATACATATACTTTATCTCATATAGAACACAGCTTATTTAGTAACAAATTTAAATCATGTGCATTTGTTTAAGAATTCTAAAATTTACGACAAGTTCTTGGTTAAAGTCATTCTTTACCACTAAATTATAAGATATTTTATAACATTTTCATACATATTTCTATTAATATTATAATTCGATTGTAAAAATAATCTGTAATAATTATCTGTAGACATATCTGTAGCTACATAACTTTTTTATAACTCGTTAATGGTCAATTTTTAAAAATATTTATCATTCGAATTTAGTGCTCTTTTTTATAACTTGAGATGTAATTTTAAGTTTCAAATGACATTTCATTTACATTTTGATTATCACAATAGTTCGAGATATTTACATCAATATTTGAAGAACAGGTGAGTACAATTTCAATGAGCAATATATTTCTAATTAATTATACGTGACGTTAATGCTTTTCGAAATAATTAAATCAATTAGATTTTAACGATTAAAGAATTTAATTATTTGTTCAAAATTATTGTCTTAGCATGTTATTGATTAAAGAGGCACAATGGTAAAACAAAGTATGTAATTATACAAATACGCATGGAAAATCATGTATGTGTAATATTCGATGTATGATACTCGGCGTATAACAGAATTCTTTTAAAAGGAAAAGTTATTATAATTTGTGTAAGCTAATAAAGGTTTATTGATACTCTAATATATATTATAACAATCGCTTTATTGAGGATAACAAAAACATGTCATTTTGGTTGGATTATAAAATTGGTAATGAAGAATGTGTATACATGTAGACTAAAAATATTATAACGCCAACAAAATGTGCACATAGTACTTAGACGAAGAAGAAGAACATAGAATAAAACTTGTAAAACCGTGTTTAATTTTATACGGCAAAAAGCAATTTCAAGTGTTGTGTAAGAATATGCTTAAGTATATAGAAAACTGAATTTAATTGAAATATAATTCAACAACCAATAAAATTGTATAAAACACGCCACTCAGTTTAAACTAATTCACTTACCTTATAATTTATATTCTGATCGATCATCGGAACATATCAACTTCGAGAAAATAAATAATAAATACTATAGACACCTGATTGAGGGTGAGAAGGTCCTATGTTTTCAACAACGTTGTTAACCAATTTCCCGATACTAGAAATTAAAATGATAAATTCACTAGGAAATATAATATTGAATTTGTTTTTATCGCACTATTATTCATCACACCCGAAGTTATTTGTTTTCGCGTAGACATTTTAAAATCGTGTATACACTTTCATTTAGTAAATATTGTACTCTTATGTTTGCGATTTGTCGAGAAAGTTGGGAAACTTAAAATTTGCACACAGAGGCAAAATGGATTTTAACTGTGTTCAACGATTGAAGATAATAAAAACCGATGAGTGATCTTATCATTGAACGTAATCATTCACCTAGTTTAATAGGTACCTAGTGAATGAATCGTTGCAGTAATGTTATCAAGTATACGTATCCATGCACGATGTTGTACAATGTACGCGGACAAAAGTATGATAACTAAAGGACAGGAGAAAATTGATAGTGTTTACCTATTAAAATACATTTAATTGCCATAATAACAGATGTGATTAAATGAATAATATTAAAGTAATATGGTTACGTACATAATCATTAGTGTAATCAAAACGAAAACAATTCCAACATTGACGTGTAGTATAGGTAATTAGATAGCATAAAATGCGTAAGAAAAAAAATATTTTACGATCAATAAAACATTGAACACAGGTGATAAAAAAAAAAAAAAAATGATTACAAACGCGTTGTATTATAAAGTTTAAATTATTCACATATTTATATATATATATTATACGTCATGTGTTAGTGTCTATATATTTACATAGATACTAAAAGCCATACCAATGTAAAGCAAAACAATTGTACGACGTATTGTAATTACATGTAATGTTGTGACGAAATAAAACGTTTGGAAAAATATACCGTAAATCATATTATCGCAGTCATAAACCGTCGGACGAAAAAACGGTCGAGGAAAGGAATATCTCTTATTGTTTCAGATCCCTTCTCGTTATGTATAATATATGTATAATAAATCTTTGGTCGACTACCTATTTACAATATATATTACGTGTGGTCCAACTGTAACAGTGCGAGATGGCAGCGGTTGCAGGTACGTGTGAATACAATATAAATTGAGGTTGGCCGGTGGCTTTTATCACACTCCAACGAGCGAATAATCTTAGCAACGCGTAAAAAACGTCATCTCCTTTACACGGATCACGACATTATACCTTATATTATATTATATCATAAACCGTAGTAATACGTCTTCGTAAATAAATTATTATTTTTCCTCTTCCTGGTGCGCATGCACTATATACTACGTTACGCATTAGATATTATTTATACTTACAGCGTATGCACATGTATATGCACCGGACAGGAACAGACCCCGATCGATGTGACCTTTTAACAACGAATAAAATATGAAGCATACGTATACGTCGCGGAATCATGATAAAGATTTATTGGCGCACGCTGAGAAATATTATAAATCGCACGTAGGTAATACAAACGGACACTTACATACACGTCGTACAAGTAGGTACAGTAAAATCAAGAATTTTGCTAAATGCTAGAGAAAATAGGTGAAGAATTACTAACTGTTTTGGGCAATTTGGTTAAATTTAAGTATTTTTTTTTTTAAATTTTTATATGTAAATTAAATTGCATTAGGTCCAGTATTCATTAAAGATAAGATACGTTACTTCTTAAAGGTGAAAAAAATATCATGAGCGTTTAATGCATTATGCTATTTGATTACGAGTAATTTGTTGAACATTAATATTTAAATCAGAATATTGATAAATTATTAAAAAATAAAATTTTCCATTTTTTTAGAACATTTTTTTTATAATAATTGCTAACAGTTTATTATAAGCGTTTGGCCTAAATTTGACGAATTGACTCGATGGATTGTAAAATAGCGTAGAAATGTAATCTTTTGACTATTTGCTCGGGGTAGAATGTCCGATTCGACCAT